TTTTGAAATTAAAATAAAAAAAACAATAACTGAAAAAAAAAAAAAAAAAAAAAAAAAAAAAAAAAAAAAAAAAAAAAAAAAACATTAATTTGCTTTATTTCAGCTAATTGTCAAGGCAACATTTCTTGTTTTCTTGCAAAAATACTAATACTGAAACAGAAAATTTATAAAAACTACATAGACTTTTAAATAATAATAATAATCATAAAATGACAAAAATACAACAAAATTACTAAAACTTTAAATTATAATGAAATAAGAAAACATAAAAAAAATATGTAAATGTTAATAAAAACTATAATAGCCTCTCAAAGATACTAAAATAACACTGGGGGAGAGATTTTGTATTTTGTCACATTTGCACACACTGCTTTTTATCACTTAACTGGAAGCGCCACAAATAAATTGTGTTATTACAACAGAACTACTGAACGCATTCAAAAGTTTATTTTAAAGGGCAAAGCATGCTAATAAATGTCCCGTTGGGTAATCAAAAGTTCAACTTGCGGTCTTCATACCCACTCTGCAAGTGCTTTGGCTTCAAAAGACTGAGTGTAGTGCAGCAGTCTTGTGGACTATATTCATGGAGCTTTTAGTGTGTTTGTCCTCATTTTTGGAGTCTGACAACTGCATGAAGGTTTGGAATGATTTAAGGGAAATGCATGACAGAATTTCCATTGTTGAGAATGATTTGTGGCCCGTGAGAGTACCTGCTCTCTGGGATGAGGTGTAGCGTGCGGTAGAGGTCAGCAGTGGAGGGCATCTTCACCGGAGCAGCTTTAGGCATGGAGAACACAGAATAGGTCACGAGCGGTGGAGTGGACTGCAGTTTGGCCTCGGGTTCTGTACCTAGAGATATGCAAACGTCAACTACAAAATAAATGAAGAGTCTCACAAACAGAAATGCGTTGCATTTGAAACCGTAGATCTCCCTCATTCACAGAATCGATCAATTGGTCACCAGTGATGAGGTGTCAGACGTGACTCACTGGCTGCTAATGCACTGTGAGGTTCAGACAATGCAGGTCTTTTACGGTCTACAAATGGAGTCATGTTCAAAAACTGGGTCTTCAGCCATGCAGCTCGATCTTCTTCAAACGCTTTTCTCTAAAGAGGCAAGAAACAAACAGAAGTTTAAAAACAGTGTAATGATGCACCAAAATTTCTGCAACCAAAAACAAAGTGTTGAAGTGGCCAAATTCATTGACCATGATTTATTTAGCGTTTATTTTGGTTGGTGTGTTTTGATAGTGTCAGTGAATGCAACTTATTTCCATGCCACATACGAGTTTCTCGAAACCTTTCAAGGAAAGTGTGATTTCTCAATTCATGCCCTCCCTTTAATGTTTTGATTGTAATAGAGGTATCTGTATGTATTCAGTAGTACCTCGTGTCCCAGACGAATAGCAGCTTCAGTGAAGTTCTTCCTCTCTCGCTCAAAGTTCCTCTTCTGCTCACTGAAGAGCCTCCACTCCTCTTTGAGCCGCTCTTTCTCCTCCAGCGTGTAGCAGTCGTTCAGCAGAGCCGCCGTCTCGTCATCACACGGTGAACTCAGCTGCTGCTGCAAACACACACAAGACTTTCAGACCAATTCAAGAAAGTTCAAGGAATAAATCAATCAAAGGGAACAATGCATCAATATGTCCTCTAATTGTAGATGTTTTGAGAAGAACACAATGAATTGTATTAGTAGCACTTACAAATGTGAAATTCATCTAAATTTAAGCATGTTTAGATATTTGTATTGAAAAACCAAGACAAAAATACAGACAACGAATCTTTTTGCAGTGCATGCTAAATTTAATCACATGACTATGAATTTAAAACTTTCTGCTCCAATTTAAGACCATTTCAGGCTTTAATTTGTGAAAGGGCAGCTGTAGACTTTATAAGACCAAGTGCAAACACACTATATGTGACCCTGGAGCACAAAAGCAGTGTTAAGTCGCTGGGGGATATTTGTAGCAATAGCCAACAATACATTGTATGGGTCAAAATTATTGATTTTTCTTTTATGCCAAAAATCATTAGGATATTACGTAAAGATCATGTTCCATGAAGATATTTAGTAAATTTCCTACCGTAAATATATCAAAATTTAATTTTTGATTAGTAATATGCATTGCTAGGAACTTCATTTGGACAACTTTAAAGATGATTTTCTCAATATTTTGATTTTTTTGCACCCTCAGATTCCAGATTTTCAAATAGTTGCATCTCGGCCAAATATTGTCCTATCATAACAAACCATACATCAATGGAATTTTTTAAAAATTGACCCTTATTGACTGGTTTTGTGGTCCAGGGTCACATATGATCTAGGTTTTAGCCCAGTTTATGCCTTGGACCAGAGACACCGAATTAGATATATTCATATGCAAAGGATCCATAATATGAGACAATACACTGACAGCCTGTTTGGGTCCACTGACAAAATCTGATACTGGAAGTAATGTTACTGTAAGATGGAGTGGAATGCAGACGAGCTAAGTATGCTGTCCTTCAGTGTTTGGTGTACAGACGTTCACCTGTAGAAGCTGCTGCTGCATGTGGATGAACTCTTTACACTGCTGTAACTCCAGTCTCATCCGCTGCATCTCGACCTCGTGCTCCTTCCTGGACATCATCTCATCTCCCTCGCGCTCCTGACACGCCACCAGCGACGCTGCAGCACAACCAGTGACATTCATTACAAAAGACTCCAGAACTTTTTCGTCTTAAATTCGACATCACTACGGTTTGCAAGAACAAGAGCAATAGTTAACCGAAAAGCAAAGAAGAGCAAAGCGTAACTGTATATTTACTAGGGCCCTATGAACATTTTTTTAAATTCCCTTTTTTCTGGATTCCATTTATTTGGTTTAATTAAATTTTAATAATCGATCAAATGAAATGTTTTTTTTTTTCTCTATGCTTTCTACATTCTGTGTTGTGTAATCAAATGACGGCATGAAACATTAACAACTGACTTAATCTTTTAATCAAATGAAAATTAAATGTTATATAACGTCAATATTAAACTATTAAAAAAGCATGGCTGAAGTTTGTTTTTAACAAAGTGCCTGAGCAATAGAATGAGAATGTTCGTGTCATTTCACAATGGATTCTTTTCTCAACTCTCCTCACAATGCTGCTGGTTTTCCTCAATATCTTGTATTGAAAACAGCAGTGCCGAGTATTTTGTCTACGGGGGCAATCGGTTCATTTTAATCTGACTTATGCTCAAACATATATATACACACACACACACACACACATATATATATAAAGAGGTATTACCCTTGAAATTACGTGTCTGTGACAGACAGAAAATTAAGACTGGTCATTTCTACAAATGTTGAAATTTTTTGATGCTCACTTCATAAGCTCACCGCCAAAGATCTGAAAATGCATTTTGTGAGCTCTTTAAGAATCAAAGCAGGTCACACGTTGTACCTTGGCTGTCGAGTCTCTCCATGTGGCTCTTGAGCTTCCTCCACTGCAGGCGGATGCTGTTGATGAGCTGTTCGCGGGCCTGTTCACACGACTGCTCCAGACTGTCTCTGCTGCAGTCACCAGTCTCCTCCTCACCCTCAGAGCCAGCCTGATGATGCAGGGATAGTTCACCCCAGAACTCAAATACTGTCGATTACTCGCCCTCATTTCATTACAAACCCACAAGACTTTGATGCATCTTTAAAACAAATGAAGACACTTCTAATGAAACGGAGAGATTTCCATTCCACCGCAAACAAAACATTCATAAAGAGACTACAGAAGTGATCCAAATGAATCGAGCCTCTGAAGAGATACATTTACTTCATTTGATGAACCGATTTTAATTTTTTTTATATAAATATGAACAATGTGACCCTGGAGCACAAAAGCAGTGTTAAGTCGCTGGGGGATATTTGTAGCAATAGCCAACAATACATTGTATGGGTCACAATTATACATTTTTCTTTTATGACAAAAATCATTAGGATATTAAGTAAAGATCATGTTCCATGAAGATATTTTGTACATTTCCTACCGTAAATATATCAAAACTTAATTTTTGGTTAGTAATATGCATTGCCAAGACCTTCATTTGGACAACTTTAAAGATGATTTTCTCAATATTTAGATTTTTTTGCACCCTCAGATTCCAGATTTCGATGGCCAACAATATTTGGCCAGATCTCGGCCAAATATTGTCAGTTTCTAACAAACCATACATCAACAGAGAGCTTATTTATTCAGCTTTCAGATGATGTAGAAACCTCAATTTCGAAAACTTGACCCTTATGACTGGTTTTGTGCTCCAGGGTCACATACGTGTTCAATACACATACATAGGGCACAAATATGGTAAACAGAAGCTTAACTGTATGCTTGAAATCTGAGCCTAAATTAAATCTATTCATCATATAAAGTGAAGGAGTTTCTTTAGAAGACGTCTTGATTCATTTGGATTACTTCTACAATCTCTCTATGAACGTTTTGCTTTGGTGGAATGGATTTTCAGTGGAGAGACAGAAACCTCTCAAGTTTTTGTTAAATGTCTTAATTTGTTTCTTGAAGATGAACAAATGTTGTATGGGTTTGGAAGGACATGATGTCGAGAACACTATTTCCCCACCAATAAATAAATACTCTACTGGCAAAATTTTACAAAGACATTTTCTGCATTGTCTAAAGCACAAAAGTAGTCTAAAAATGTCTAATTAGCCGAAAAGGAAAATGGTTTCAGAGGTGGAGAAAGACAAAAGTTTGGAAACATTATGATTATGAAGTCTCTTCTGCTCACAAAGGCTGCATTTGTTTGATCAGAAATACAGTAAAACGAGTAATACTGTGTGATATTATTATAAGTGTTTTCTATTTGAATATATGTCAAAATGTAATTTAATCCTGTGATGCAAAGCTGAATTGTCAACATCCAGTTCAAAAGAACAGAATTTATTTGAAATAGAATCTTTTGTAACATTAAATATGTTTTTACCGTCACTTTTGATCAATTTAATGCATAAATAAAAGCATTAATTTCTATTAAAAACACTCGCACACACAAACATTTGAATGGTAGTATGTCATGGTTTCAGCATAAATATTAAAAGCAGCACAACTGTTTTCAACATTGATAATAATCAGAAATGTTTCTTGAGCAGCAAATCAGCATATTATACTGATTTCTGAAGATCATGTGACACTGAAGACTGGAGTAATGATGCTGAAAATACAGCTGCGCATCACAGAAATACATTACGTTTTACTATACGTATATTCACATAGAAAAAAGTTATTTTAAATTGCAATACTGTTTGACAATATTAGTGTATGTACTGTGTTTTTGAGCACATAAATGCAGCCTTGGTGAGCAAAAGAGACTTTAGTAAAAACATTTAAAAATGGCAATGTTTCCAAACATTTGACAAGTACTGTACATTAACACAGGGTGCCTTTTGTTAAACAATTTACAACTTTTAACAACACATCACTGTTAAAAAAAAAAAAAGAGTATGTGAGCAGAATTCAGACCTGCTCGAGGCTATCATCTGCTGGCTCTGGTTGGACGCAGGGTTTCTTTGGGCTCAGAATGGCGATCATGTCTTTCTTCATGTGCTGCAACACTTTTTTAAGCTCAGAGTTCTCCATCATCAGAGATCTCTGCCGCGTCTCATAATCACTCAGCAGAGCCCTGTACATCTCGCCCTCATGTCTGACAACACAAGAGCAACTGTTTTACAGCACTGTGTTTCACTAAGAGAAATAGGAGTCATGTCAAAGCCCCACATAAGCACTGGAGGTTACCTGGCCTCCATCTTGCTCGTCTTCCAAAGGCCTCTCTTGCCATCTGACCTTCCCACATAGTTTGATATTTCAATGGCTGAACACACGAAAACAGAGAAGACAGGAAGACTGTAACCTTGGATAGACTGTTCAAATCATTCTGGATAACACACATTGTTTATTTTGTGCAGTCTAAAAAGGAAATAAAAATAATTAAATAGTGAAACGGATAGATTTCTGTTCTCCTAAAACAGCGCTCACAGAGTTTCTTGTCTCTCTTGTCCATGAGCAGCTGGTTGAGACGTTCCTTCAGTTTGGTGCAGTCTCTCTCTTTACGCTTGGTGTCGTGGTTGTACTGCGAGGCACGGCTAGAGATGATGCTCTGCAGTTTCTGTACCTGCATCATGGTTATTACACAGTAGTGAGGGTGCTGTATGATTATTATGGAAGGTATATATACACAGTACACTGAAGTCTTAAAAAATATAAACAAAGGTTTTCAAATGAATAAATTAACCAACCAAACAAGAGATCACCAAAGAACTTGCTTTACAAAATAAACTACTCTGAATATCTATGTGGTCGGATTTGTGCATCTCAAACATGTCTTTTAAACACTTGTGATCACTGCGTCCAATAATGATTACGTGTTAAAGGGATAGTTGACCCCTCCAAAAAAAATGTTTGCTGTTAATTTACTCACTCTCAGGCCATCCAAAATGTAGAGGACTCTTTTTCGTCAGTATAACAGTAAGAAAATGTATAGCTGAAATCGTGCTCCGTATAGCTGAAAAAGCAAGTCAAGGGCTGCCGTCACTTTGAGAGTCAAAAAAAGCATATTATACATAAAATGTAAGACTCTGGAATGTTTACCTGAGGCTCTGGATTACAGGTAATAATGCTGTAAATAAAGTTCAGTTTCTTGCACAGTCTGATTGCTTCGCTTCATAAGACCTCAATATATCGGCAGGAGTCACAGGTATTAATTTTGTGCTGTCTGATATGTTTTTTTTTACTCTTAAAATTACGGTAGGACCATGGTTTCCGCTAAAAATCTTTACTGTTCTACTGAGGAAGAAACAAAAAGTCACCTACTTCTTGGAAGGCCTGAGGGTGAGTAAATTACCAGCAAATGTTCATGTTTGGGTGAACCGTCCCTTTAAGGGAGTGGCGAGTAGGGGGTGCTGTATGGGACAGACAGTGCTTCCACTGTGACACAGGGCTCATTTTAGGTCAGCCAGGTTACACATAGGCACAGTGGGCACATATGGTGGGAAATACATTGCTATTTTGCATTTTACATTTCAAACTTAGTGTCTGTGAAACAAAATTGTAGTTTAGTTGAAAGAAAATGCTGGACCAAGTACACTAGCAAATATACGGCAACATGATGAGGTGCAGCGGTCATGAACAGAGTTTCTCTTACTTCCTCTTTCTCAGACTTGAGGCAGTTGTGTAAGGTTTTGATCTTCAGCTGTAGCTGTCGCTCACCCTCATGCAGGCCTGAGTTCTCTCTCCTGGTGTGCTCCAGCTGATCCTGAGACAATTACACAATAGCAGAAGAAATTAAGAGTATCCTAGCTGCTAACAGTTTTCTCTTATTTCACTATTAAATATTTAAACTGAGCATCACAAAATAGATTAGCAAATGTTTACATGTAACATGTGTTCCTGGTCAAGAAAAAAAAAAAAGATAAATAAAAAAGAAATAATTCTATCAACAAACTATTAAAAGGTTAAACTCCAGCCTGCAACTGAAACTGTCACAAATGTGTATATTTTTGTAACATTTTCTACCATTTAAAATGAAGTCACCATAAACAAGACATCAAAACTATGTTTGTGAAATCTGGTTAAAAGGCATTAAAAAAATTAACTCAAAGATAATCAAAATCATTAAAAAATTTTTAAAAAAAAATCATATTCACTACAGAAACCTTCAATCTGAATAATTTCCATCACTTTCCCAGTCCTGGAAATGACAAATCCCTTTTTTTTTTCCTTTTTGTATGGAGTAATGTAGAAAGCAGAGTACTTTGAGTCTACAGTTGCTGTGCTGCAGATGCTCGAGGTCACTGCCGTTCATCAGCTGCTGCGTCTCCAGCTCATGTAGGGCTCGCTGAGCTCTCCTCTGCAGCTGCAGTACTTCATAGAGCAGGTTCAAAACCGGCACAGCTTTAAAAAATCATATTCACTACAGAAACCTTCAATCTGAATAATTTCCATCACTTTCCCAGTCCTGGAAATGACAAATCCCTTTTTTTTTTCGTTTTTGTATGGAGTAATGTAGAAAGCAGAGTACTTTGAGTCTACAGTTGCTGTGCTGCAGATGCTCGAGGTCACTGCCGTTCATCAGCTGCTGCGTCTCCAGCTCATGTAGGGCTCGCTGAGCTCTCCTCTGCAGCTGCAGTACTTCATAGAGCAGGTTCAAAACAGGCACAGCGCTCAGATTGCCTGATTTAGACTCTAAACTCACTCCAGTCAAGCCCAGCGAACACACCTCCTGAGGAGAACCAAGAGAAACATCTCATTACAAACAACTTATGCAATTATGTTTTGTGTTAGATATTTATATATACAGTATTTTTGTTTAATAGTAAAGTAACTTAATGTGCATGATTTAACAGTGTTTTCATCGAAGGGTTAACAGTATGTCTCGGGAGCAGTCAAGACAACAACTTTAATTTTGGTTAAATTAACATTAAATGCAAACTGGCATGCTAGTAAACAGTGCTGGGTTAATGCATTAAATGTACCGAGTTACGTAGATTACGTTTTTCCAAGTAACTAGTAAAGTAACGCATTACTTTTTAATTTACAAGGAAATATGAGTGAATTTTTCAAATAAGCAATACCAGTTACTTTGTGTGCGCTGTGTGAACATGATGATACTGTAGTTCTAGACTAAATGTGAACATGCATTTACTCGCACAAAAACAGACTCAGTATTCCTCGAAATGAATAAAAACAGTGAAATGCAAACTCAGTATATGATGCAAACCTGCATTTCACTTTTGGTGTGAAAGGGCTTTCACATTTGCCAAAAATATAACTTTTTTATATTAAAAACAAACAAGCAAGCCCATCCCAAAAGTAACGCAAAAGTAACGTAACATTACTTTCCATAAAAAGTAACTAACGCAATTAGTTACTTTTTTAGGGAGTAACGCAATATTGTTATGCATTACTTTTAAAAGTAACTTTCCCCAACGCTGCTAGTAAAAAGCCAGAGAACTTGCATTGTCCAGTCTGGACCCCTATAACGGTGAGACGCCCAACCCGCCACCTCAAATATATTCTAAAGTTGCACCCTTAGATAAAGTCTGAGAAGCAGCAACACCTCTAGTAGAGTGAGCTTGAATGCCGAGAGATGAAGATATCCCACGCAAGTCGCATTTTTCACCAAATGCAACATCCGTTGTTTCATAGTGGCAACACCCTTGCTGCAGCCACCAAAACACACAAACAGCTGATCAGATTTACACCACTGGCTCATGCAGTCAACGTTAATCACCCTCACAGGACAAAGCATATGCGGTCTCTCATTCTTCTGCGACTCAAAGAATGGAGGAGAAAATGACTGCAACAACATCAGACCAATGCTCTAAAGATGCAAAGCCCGCCCTCAGTGTCCAAAGGTCTAAAAAGGAATGGGGCATAAATGCATTCCCCCTAGCGGTTTCATGTAACAGACCACTGATGTTGTCCATCCTGATGACCACATTACAGTCTCTAAAGTCTGGATGGAAATGTCTAAAACACTCAAATAAAACACCATCACCTCCAGGTAGTTTATGTGCCACATGAGACGATTACCTTTCCATATGCAATAGACTGGATGTTTTTCAAAAACTGCACAAGACATTTATCATAACTCGCCTGACAGACTTTGCCCAAAGGCGCAAACCGCCGTCCTTTTTCAGCACTAGATAATACTGGATGTGGAAACCAGACTCCCCCTTGGGAGGAAACATTTTATCTACAGCTCCTTTCCTCTAACAGGGAGTGTATTTTCCGCCATAAAATCTGAGCTTCTGTGGGGAGCAATGAGTGGGGTAGTGCCAAAATTGGATAGCGCACCTCTTTTATATGGTTTGCAGAACCCAACAAGAGACATTCAGCAGATGTTGTCATTCTGCCAAATGACCAGAGAGGCATCAGGCACTTTACGACTGAAGCCTGAGAAAGAGAGTCACTAAGGCTCATGTGAGGGCAATGTAATCATCAGATCGAAGAAAGCCTTCTATGTCTCCAGTCAGTGCATGAGATACGACTTTACCAAAACATCCTGTGCCTCTATCTGTTGCAAGCCTTCCCAAATGGGACCTTTTAGTGGCTGAGCAGCAGGTAAAACCTGTCCCAGAATGGAAGAGTGTATGGCCAGACACAATATAATGGGTTCAGCATGCACCATAGGGGCAACACTTCTTAAAAGCACAACAAAAAAAATGCACAATATGCAATCTTCCAGCCTAAGGTCAAGTCATTACGTACATTAATGGCAATTTGGGACACGTATAATAATTTCATGGAAAACGTGTGAGTGGTGCTCTGTGGCACGGCAGGATTTTGAACAGCCTCATGAGTTCCAGCTGCGCACCGCTGAGAGTGAGTGGTGCCACCGGAGTGCATACACTCATAGAAAACAATGTGTCTGAATTTACATTAAATTTATCATGACACATGTCAACACTCAAAAGTTGAAATTAAGCCAAAGAGGGACACATTTCCTGAATACTTGTTGGAAAGAGCGCTGCTCTGATTATTGCCCAACTCCTCAAGAGTCCTAATACGGCAGTAGAAAGACATCTCATCCAGATATTCCTCACATGCAACCAGATAAATACACAGCACTTGGTCTGGTTAGAGCAAGAGAAATAGGGGGGGAAAATCCACTTAACATCTGATCCCCAGGACCCAGGCTCATTAACCGGAACCAGAATGGATGGCCGATTTTCCTCCTTTACTCAAAGAAGGCAATTTGACTATCCATGTCATTTCTTTATTTTTCAATCACCAATCCCAATCATCAGACGAAAGATAATCAGAATAATACTTTCAAACTGCCCTTGTAATGTACCTGATTGATATATGCGATGCACTGCGATATGTTCTCCTCGGTGCAGAACGCACTTAACCCGCTGTAGGAGGTTTTGGGCAGAGCCATGGTGGAATGCACCGAATGGTGAGAGTTTTGCCTGGAGGGGGACATGCTGATCCCAGAAATACTGGAAAGCTCTTTGGTGTCTGTACAGAAGACAAAAGAAAAGGCAGAGCCTGTTATTAAAGCCTGTCGAAACCAGACATGTCCAACATGGTGCCGCATAAGTGCAAAAGAGCTAACCTGGGAGAGTTTCAGTTGAGGAAAAGCATTAAAATAATAATAATAAATAAATATTTTTGAATAAAACATTACGTGGTGCATTTATATATTTGACAATGAGCTATATGAAAATGGTCAGAAGTTTTTAAGAGCATTTCAAGACGGTCTGATGATGAGGGATTCCACTGTTTGCATTCTTATAATGTATATTTAAATGACTGTGTATACACCTGGCCTTTTTCTAATAAGAAAAAAAAAGTTTGTTAAAGGGTTAGTTCACACAAAAGTGAAAATTAGGCTGTGTTTTACTCACCCCGAGGCATCCTAGGTGTTTATGACTTTCTTCTTTCAGATGAATCCAGTCGGAGTTATATAAAAAAAATTGTCTTTGATCTTTCAAGCTCTATCATTGCAGTCAGCGGGTGTTGCATTGCTGCAGTCCAAAAGAACTTAAATAAAAATCGCCCATCCATAAAAAAAAGTGTCTCACACGGCTCCGGGGGGTAAACAAAGGCCTTCTGTAGCGAACCGATGCGTTTTTGTAAGAAAAATATCCATATTCAAAACGTAATAATCACTTTAATGTAGCTTGCGCTCACTGTTGTAAACAGAAGCAGCTCCGGGCGGATGACGTATGAGTTCAGCGCTGCGCATGTGCCGCTCAGAAGTGACGCACGCAGAAACGCAGCGGAGAGCTCAAAACAAAACAACAGTCACTTATTAGAAACACAAAACGAGGATTTGTAAAGAAGCATGTCAGAGGATTTCAATATAAGCCAAGAGGAGACTGGTTTTGCTTTGCTAAAGTAAGGAAACTTTGCCTCCTTTGCTTCTGTTAACAAACGTTGGTTTTCACGAGACTCACCGGCGCATGCACAACGCTGACCTCATACGTCATCCGCCCGGAGCTGCTTCCGTGTACAACTGATTATTACGTTTTGAATATGGATACTTTTCTTATAAAAAAAGCATCGATTCGCTACAGAAGGCCTTTGTTCACCCCCCGGAGCCGTGTGAGACTTTTTTTTTATGGATGGGCGATTTTTATTTAAGTTCTTTTGGACTGAAGCAATGCAACACCGCTGAGTGGCATTAAACAGCTTGAAAGATCAAAGACCATTTTTTTATATAACTCCGACTGGGTTCGTCTGAAAGAAGAAAGTCATATACACCTTGGATGCCTCGGGGGTGAATAAAAACGCAGCCTAATTTTCATTTTTGGGTGAACTAACCCTTTAAGTTCATTATTATTAAAAAAGCATTTCTGACTATCTAAGGATGTAACGATATTCAAACCGAACCGAAAAACTGCGATACACTACCCATGATACGTATCGTGGTATGTCAACATGCCCGTCTTTGTGAGTGTCCTTGCAAACAGCGTTGGTCATGTCTGAAATGAATGGAAACAGTGGAGAAAGACGTATCGGAGTACTGGATCTGTGAATGATGTCTTAAAGGAACAGCAGTCTATTCCTGCTGTCTGTGTTTTTAAAGTTAAACAACAGAAGACCAGGAAATCGCTCACTTCTCTTGACTGAACAGCTTTTGTGACTTCTTCAAGGATTGGTCTTTAATTTATTTTACATTAGTTTACTTTTAAATTTCTGTGCCCATGAAAATTACTGTTAAACACCTGAAAAACACAGTTTATTTATTTGTATCTTTGCTCTATTGTATTTACAGTATTTGTGCTGTTGCATTTAGTTTGATTATTTGTCATTTTCTTTATTTTTTTTGACCATAGTCCTTTTTTGCCTGAGCATAGCACATACCGAACTGAACCGTGAGCAATCTGTACACCTATGTTAAGTATGTGGTTTCAGTGACCCATTTTTTCTTTGCTTTTGGTTTTATATGCGGTTTGTTCCACGGCATTAGAGACACGACCGGAGTTTCAACGTTATCACAGCGGCTAATAAACACAGTCACACCGGTGCACTTACATCAGACGCGGCGCCACGGATCCGAACGCAGGCAGATCAGCATATGCTCATGGATTAGACTGATTATTAGGTCTTTCAGACTGATCCGTGTTTAAAGAGAGAGAGAGAGATGCCATGCGCGTATCATGCACCTGCCCTGAAGCGCAGGAGACATCAGATGATTTGAAGAGCACCTCAGTTCTTCAAAATAAACAAACACGACTCTCATTGGCCAGCCCACTCGTCGTGTGATTGGCTGGATCGTCCTTCCTACCTGTGCAACACGCAACAGGTGTTCACTCTACCTGCATGAAATATTTAAAGCAACTTGACTGATTTCTCACTTTACTTGAATTTGGTAACATTTGTTTATTATGTTATATCTGTTTAACCTATATTCATTCGTAATTTATTAATGCATTTATTTGCTTAAAGTATTTCTTCTGTACACTCTAAAAAATGCTGGGTTAAATACAACCCAGTGCTGGGTAAAATAGAGACAAACCCAGCAATTGGGTTGTTTTGACCCAGCGGTTTGGTTAAATGTTTAACCCTACCTTCAGGGTAGTAACCCAACCGCTGGGTCAAAACAGCCCAATTGCTGGGTTTGCCCATATTTTACCCAGCATTTTTAGAGTGTAAGGTCGAAACATGGAATACGCGACTAAATAAATAAACACAAATATAATAATAAGTCAAAATAATCTCTCTCTCTAAAATTATATTAATTCCTAGTTTTATTAATCACTTTGCTCTTAAGTATTTAATGTTGTGTCCTTAATACTACTGTGTAACCATGACCTATAACATACCATGTTTTACAGCACGTGACTGGTTATCTCCTGCTGACGTCATGTTTTCATGTGTGCACACCATAGTCTGTAAAAAAACATTGTACTGTGGTAAATGGATGCGAATGTGGTGATGAGAAAACACATGCATATGACATGTTAATAACATTAGCTATTTGAATGGAGGCAGAGACTGACCACTGAAAACTCCTGAAGCTCTGCCTGCTTCAGAGTGGCTGGCTGCACTTCATGGCCCTGTTTTTGTGTTTTTCCTTTCATTTGTTTCAGGACGGAGAGCTGTTGTTTGTTTAGTGGACGAAGTTTGAATTCTGTTCGATTTGGACTGCTGATTCCATTTCATTTTTTGATCGGTATGCTGAACTTTATTTGTGTGTCTTTGGCTTTTCTTTATTCATGGGATGTAGTTTGTGTAAATGACTTGTTCAAACATATCAAGCTATGTTGTAATGGCTTTTCCTACACTGTAAAATAAATCCCTAAAAATAGGGCACAATGAAGTAATTTTCCGTATTGATATTTTACAGGTGTTTTACCTGTATTTTCATTGCGTTGTGTTTTAGGGTTAATGGAAATGTCCGTAAAATTAATGGATATATAATGTCATGGCCGGACAATTACCAGTACCTCTTTGTTTGTTGTTTGTTTTAAAGTGCATTTGCAGTAATGCATTTCCTCATTTGGAATTTTTATGCATAGTGACATCAATTGTATTATTGCAGGGATTTACTGTTTTTTAAAATATGATATAACTCATTTGGCTTATGATATATACAAGGCTGGGATGCCGTTATATGGATTAAATATATAATAAGGATACATTTATGTCCCACCTTACATTTTATTTGTTGCTCGATAGCTCAAAAGTCTTTTCTGTAACATGCTGACTTTAATGTCTTAAGTTTATGACTGTATTCCTGTAAAATTACAACTTTATTCTCAAACAGTACTATTTTATTCTCATGCACATAAACATGAATAGAATAGGATAGAATAGAATAGAGCAGTGCATTTATGGACTTCAAACCGAACCGAAAAACTGCGATACACTACCCATGATACGTATCGTGGTATGTCAACATGCCCGTCTTTGTGAGTGTCCTTGCAAACAGCGTTGGTCATGTCTGAAATGAATGGAAACAGTGGAGAAAGACCTATCGGAGTACTGGATCTGTGAATGATGTCTTAAAGGAACAGCAGTCTATTCCTGCTGTCTGTGTTTTTAAAGTTAAACAACAGAAGACCAGGAAATCGCTCACTTCTCTTGACTGAACAGCTTTTGTGACTTCTTCAAGGATTGGTCTTTAATTTATTTTACATTAGTTTACTTTTAAATTTCTGTGCCCATGAAAATTACTGTTAAACACCTGAAAAACACAGTTTATTTATTTGTATCTTTGCTCTATTGTATTTACAGTATTTGTGCGGTTGCATTTAGTTTGATTATTTGTCATTTTCTTTATTTTTTTTGACCATAGTCCTTTTTTGCCTGAGCATAGCACATACCGAACTGAACCGTGAGCAATCTGTACACCTATGTTAAGTATGTGGTTTCAGTGACCCATTTTTTCTTTGCTTTTGGTTTTATATGCGGTTTGTTCTGGCATATGGGTGTGTGAATTAATACGTTAATAATTAATCCTCTATGCACCGCTTCTTTTCATTATGTTTTCAACTCTACTTTGCTTTCAGTAACTGTCAGGGTATTAAAGCGAAAAACAACACAGCTTTCTGTAGTCAAGGTCGGGAGGTAGAGAACGGTTTTATCAAGAAGATACTGGCGTGAGAGTAGAGAGGTAACGTTAGCTAGTGAGATTTTAATCACTGGTTTTTATTTATAAAGCTCTAAAAATCAGTTTTAGTGCATTTCCTGCAAATACGGAAAAAATAAATGGTCTCAATTAAATATGTGCAGTGTCACATGGTTCGTGCAAATTGTCACATGACCAAAGCAGGCTAGTAAAGTATGTGAGTATAAAGACATCACAAATATTTTTGTAATCTTTAAGGTGTCTCGTATTAATATATGAATTCACAATTATTCAGTTTTCTTGAGTGTGGTCACAGAATGAGTAAACACGTTGATGGTCACAATAGTGACCGGTGGGATAATAATACAGTGCATTTAGGTTTACATATACATCCAATTAGTTATTAGTGAAGGTTGCACTAAAATGTTGCAATG